TCGATGGTAACATACAATTTTCAACCAGGCAGTGACTTGAGAACGTTTAGATAGATCCGAATTTCCACCATAGGCGAGCTGCCGTCTAAGTCGAAACGGATACATAAAGTAGGAATAAGAGAGAGTGAATAAATGACGTGGTAGAATAATAATAGTAGTGCGAGTCATTTCAGTGTAAATCGGAGCGAAAAGAATATTTTCCATAAGTAGACAGTTCATCATGTTTTACTGTGTGGGCTGAGATACTGCCCGGGTGCCCAGACCGAAGCAGGTGGTTTTCTTAGGGGGCCACGCCCCGTGCATTTGACCTGAAGGTATAGATGGAGTGGCCGTCCCAGATTCCACATAAACACAGAAATAAGCACGGACTAACAATGTTGATATCACGAAAAGACTTAATCTAGGCATCCACTAAATCCAGGAAGCACTGCATAGCTATTTCGCTCAGGTAGTGGTCTGCATCTATGAACATGCGTCCGGTGGTCGAACTATGAACCTCCGGTCTTGCGTGCTAACGTAAAACCTCTAGACGAATCACCCGGCATCCAACGGTGGTCAACATAAGATATGCTCATGACATAAGTTGTGAAAATTCTACAATCCCCTCAAATCCAGGATACAGAAAATAGGGATAAAAATGTTGTTGTGAAGTAAACAAAGAATTAGTGGGGATAACCAATTTATCGTTTAACGTGAAAATACACAATGGCAAAGTAAAATATGAAAAGCATACATAAAATACATTATTTGCACATCTTCCTTCAGTTGCCCTTTACATGCTTCATGATTCTTGAAATCCTGTTATCTTTAAAAATTGCTCTTTAATTACTCGCTTGTTATCTTCAACGTAATCTTCTGATGCCAAGCATTACAGTTCCGATTTGTGCAACATACTACATACATCCGTCAACATAAGTAGCATAATCCACAGTAGGTATTGTGATAGTAATAATGCCTTATCAGATATATGCCAAGTCCTAAGTGATCTACCGTATTGTATATAATTACGCTTCCCTTGTATAACTGAAATAATTGAGATCAGTTAAAATAAACTCATATGATGTAAAAAACAGACTTTACTTTGGCCAACAATAACGTCATTCGACATTTTCCTCCTACATTATGATATGCACTACATTTCAAGACGTTTTTCTCATCCCCAACTATACGCTTATCATCTATATTAATGTACGTTTCAAGTTGTCATAGCCCATCAGCATAGTGAGATAAAATTGTCAGGAGAAACGCCAAAGTAGTGTAGTTAGTAACAATATTAGTGGTACTAGAAAAGATTAGGTATCGGAGATACGACTCAAGGAAACATAAATTAGTGAGAAGGGAAGATTTATAAAGAATTTTTAAACTAAGGATCAAAGTAAAGACAAAGAATAGATGCAGCTGGACCATTGTGAACAAATTTTAGCCATGTAATCCAGATCACCAATTGGTTACGAAATCATACGGACTTCAACAAAACGATCTGCATCTGCCTACATGACTCAACCTAATTGTCAATGACTTCATGGACTGGCGCTATGTCTTCGTTTACCCTCACCTACCATTCTTCCAATCTAATCCTACATCAGCTGTTTTTTGTATGTTGAGGCAGCCGGTAGATGGCCATGAGTAATATATATCCTAACCCCAAACACTCACTACCCCGTCAGTCGACCTGACATACTTACCTAGTACTGTGAGTCTAAACTTAGAATCGCTAACTCTATAGTCTTAAATTATACGAGTATTAATTTGAAAACACCTATGATTGACTACTAGTGTCCTACAAATATCTTCTATTCTTAATAACCATGTTTCACACTCATTAAATAGGACTGAACAAAGTGCTGAGTAATAAAGTCGTCCTTCATTTGAGAAGTGGATATTTTGCATATGACACAGGTGACCGAAGTTGAAAAAAGTCAACGGATTTTCTGAATTCGTGCCGAGATTTTGTCAAACAACAGATTATCAGGACTCAGGTTAAGTGAAGCGCTCGATACTTTCAACTACTTCCCTTCCTATCATTAATTCGCGTGCTGACAGTGAAGTAACAGTTTGTGTTTAGAGGGAGAGAATAACATCCCAAGTAAGTCCGCATTGTTTCTCAAGGTGATCAGACGACTTTTTATCGTGGCAGAGTCTTCACAAACGTTTTAAATTGCACATTAATTCTAACCTTTAAACTTGAATGATTGTTTTCTCCATTTTAAATTGGCCTTCAGAAACAAAAATAATTACTGGGTAGGTTACAGATAGTTCAAGTGACTAGAGAGCATTGATACAAAATTGTGATTGATGAGTCACTCAGATGAAGAGAAAAGAACCGTATATGAACTATCATCATTATCAATATGAAGAAGTTTTATGGTGTAGTACACTTGACAATCACTTTTACTTTTATATATGTGAGAATGAATTAAATCAAACATAAAATTAAAAAATTTCCCGTCGAGTCCATTCGCGGGCTACTATCGACCCCAAGCCCGGATAAAGGAGGGGGGTTGGGCATGGGGTTAGCGACCCCATCCCGTAGAAAACTAACTCGCTAAAAAACGCTAACCTGAAAAAAGTTATTCAAACCATTTTATCTCAGTGCTGGGAGTCAGAAGGTCTTCATTTAGAAGAGTTATGACTCCTCACAATATGGGAGACTGGGAGTCTTCCAAATTGCTGAAGAAACGAGGAGATACTGTAGTGAACAAAACACAGGTGGGGACAATCGAGTGTTTTTAGGCACAAAATTACAGAGCATCTCAATAAAATCTGAGAACCATATATTAAATCGTTAATTTGCAAAATATCAATCCATCATATGAAACTTGACTGTTCCTGTTGCAAACATCAATCCATTGTCTCAGATTTCATTGTTCATGCGCTTTCATACAAATTACATTGTGTTCCCGCTCTTCCTTTCTTGATCTTCCCCCATCTTCTGCTGCCAAACATTACGTTCCTAACTCGCGTAATATACTACTTATGTAGACATAAGTAGCACACACCACAATACAACCTGGAGGTGCTTGGAATCAGTGAAACAAATTGGACGCAGGTTGGACAACAACGACTAGCCTCAGGGGAGCTTCTGTTATACTCCGGCCACGGATAAGAAAATGCCCTACACATACAAGGAGTTGCATTGATGCTATCCGAACAAGCACAAAATACACTTATAGGATGAGAATCTCAGGGATCCAGGATCATCAATCGTCCTTCAAAACAAAGGAGGACATTACAATGAATGTCATCCAACGCTATGCGCCAATCAACGACTGCAATGAAGACGCTAAAGATCAATTCTACGATAGGATGCAGTCAATCGTCGAGAAGTGCCCAACAAAGGACTTGACCATTCTGATGGGAGACCTGAATGCCATGGTTGGTATGGACAACACGGTGGACGGCTAGGATGCAGCTGGAAGATCTAGACTTCGCAGATGATCTAGCTCCTCTATCACACACGCAACAACAAATGCAGGAGAATGCGACCAGTGTAGCAGCAGCCTCAGAAGCAGTAGGTCTCAATATGCACAAAGAGAAAAGCAAAATTCATAGATACAACACAGCATGCGATAATCGAATCACACTTGACGGAGAAGATTTGGAAGATGTAAAAACCTTTACATATTTGGGCAGCATCATTGTTGAACAGGGTGGATCTAATGCAGATGTGAAGGCGCGGATCGGCAAATCAAGAGCAGCATATTTACAACTACAGAACATCTGGAACTCAAAACAATTGGCAACCAAAACCAAGGTCAGGATTTTCAATACAAATGTCAAGACAGTTCTACTGTATGGGGCGGAACCTGGAAAACTACGAAAGCCATCATCCAGAAGATACAAGTGTTTGTTAATAGTTGTCTATGCAAAATACTTCAGATCCGTTGGCCAGACACTATTAGCAACAACCTACTGTGGGAGAGAACAAATCAGATCTCAGTGGAGGAAAAAATCAGGAAGAGGCGCTGGAAGTGGATATGACACACATTGAGAAAAGCACCGAACTGCGTCACAAGACAAGCCCTCACATCGAAGCCTCAAGGTCGAAGGAGGAGAGGAAGACCAAAGAATACATTACGCCGGGAAATGGAGAAAGACATGAGAAAAATGAACAAGAATTGGATGGAACTAGAAAAGAAGGTCCAGGACAGAGTGAGTTGGAGAATGCTGGTCGGCGGCCTATGCTTCATTAGGAGTAACAAGCGTAAGTAAATAAGTAGAAAATAAACGGAAAAGATGGCTCGTTAAGTACAAATAAGAACTAAAATTCTCCTCTGTCTTTCTATAGTGAATACATTTCTCTAGTTTCACACTAATTTGTCAACGTTTGTTTTTCCAAGTCTTTGACCTATTTCCCACGTTGAAACACTACCTTACGATCCGTATTTGTATTTCTTAATGACTACGTCTTGTTACGCGATCTGCGTCGTAGCTACCATCTATCCGTAAACTGCCTTGATCAATTCAATGCTTCTTCATTTATGCAAATAAAAATATTTTCATATATGGTGTGTGGCTAGTGAAAGTAAGATGTGATTGGTCACTGAGCGCAGGCAAACAGATACTCGGCTTACACTTGGTGATTGTCCTTCTTATTATTGATTTCTACTCTGAACTCAATAAGTGTAGACCGCTTTGTAATTGTGTTGAATAAAGTTTTGTCTAATCTATGCTCTGGTTCTCCTATTGTGGTTGTGAATCATGTATCTGGTAAAACGTGGTTCAATCTGTATGGCATCATATAGATATATAGTATTAGCAAAACCTTGATCGCCAGTCGTACTAACATTTATATCGTGAAAACAAAATATTTCTTCTTTATTATCATATCGGTATATATGAGAGTAAAACCAGACGAAGAACTCATTTGAAAACAATATTGCCCACCTATTTGTGTTTTAATTTATAACGTCATAATCACAATCTGCCTATACACATGCATAATAAATTCATAAATACAGAAGGTGAAAAGAAAAACATTATTACCGTCAAGTACTCACCTGTTAGTATCGGGTTACCATCAACATAAACAGTATGAGATGAAAAATTAGTTAACCAAAATATACCATCTTTACTTAAGCGTATTTGACCATGACAACGTGATATACGACCACTGTCAATACCTTCCATTGATAAATCGATATGCGGTTGATAAACGAATGAATTACGACCAAATATGACCTAGAAAATTTCAGTAAAGAAAGAAGGAGAAAGAGTGTGATAAATTTCTTTTTCAAATGATCGGGAAATTTTGTAGCTCATGTGGAAGTAGTCTTCTCTACAAAAGAAAAATTTTGAGAATATGACCATAAATATCAAAGAAATAGTGATTGATATTAGGGGAGTCGAGTTATGTTCTGTTTTAACTCCCTCAAGTTATTATTAATTAATTACGAATCAATTATGTAGTCTCTTTTCCAAGTATTATATATATATATATATATATATATATATATATATATATATATATAATTTCTTATTTATGCTGATGCGCGGTCAGATAACTAATCCATATTATCACATGAATTCTGAGTCATGAACTGAACTGTGTGGTACTGCAGAGGTTTATCTGCCTGTAGTGTAGTTCTGATCTTTGAGCAGGTGAGATTGGGAAACTGTTTCCTGGGCTAATCGGTGTTAAGTATGTACTTCAGCCGCTGTCTCAATGTCATTGCGTTACTGGTCAGAAAAAGTAACTCTAACATGAATCAATAATCGGACAATATAATATATAACTACTCCTATAATAACGGCCCTATCACATGGGGATCAATACAACACAAAAATGGAGCTTTTTGGCTATCACATCACAGTTACAATGAGAAAAATACATATCAAAAACCTTTTTTTCTTTTATCAGAAATTGTGTTCTTGATCCCGTAAGAGATGCTAATGCTGGATAAATTGGTTGCGGATCCATTATTTCTAGACCATTAGATACAAACATTTCAACTAGACGTGTCCAACGTCTAGCCTCTTCTTTATTTCGACGTAAACGTGCCCACAAACGTCCGCGACGTCGATGTAATTCTAATCGACGCTAGAATAGAACAAAAATTATTATCCAATGAATTGTCAATTTCATCTTGGCTGGAATTATGAATAAACATCGAAATATGAAGACAAAAACTATTCACAAGTGATTGATCACTGGGTGGTGGTTGCACGTAGTCAATAGAAAACCCTGGATACGGGTTTCGTGTTATTTGAAATTCGTTAAACCCAAGGTTGCTAAACCGAAACCTATAGCGCCTCCTGCTTTTAAACCCAAATCAACCCCAAAAAGCCTAATGAAAAGGTTGTGTATGACACTTTAACATTCCTAGGGCTAGTCATTGATGCAGTGTACGGGGATGCATCATAAAGTCAATAAGAATGATTCTACGATCACTACTGTTTCAGAAGGTATTGATGGACGAGACTTTGGAAATGTTTTTAATAGAGGCTGAAGAAATACTGAACAATCGACCACTCGTAAAGCTAGTTAATGACTGTGATAATCTGGATATACTCTCATCAAAAAAGTTAGTGTTAGTTCATAGAGATGTATCATTCGATAAAGCGCAAATGAGTAAAACGTACTTACATAACAGACGGAAGGAAGCACAACAACTAGCCAACCTATTCTGGAACGGATGGTTACAAGAGTACCTACCAACCCTTCACGCGGGATCCAAATGGTTCGACATGAGAAGTCTACAACCGGGAGATTTAGTGTTAACAAACAATACTGGCTCACAGAGAAATTTGTGGCTGGAAGCTATAGTTAGAAAGGTCAGTGGACGAGTCAGAACAGTTTGGCTGAAAAAAGCAACCGAAGAGATACGCCGGGATATACGAAACCTGTGCCTACTAAAATAGGCCGATTATTTAAGCGCGGCAGTAGCGAAGCCAAATCACTGTTTAAGCGCCCGCCACGTCAATCCTACAACAGATGTTCCTTGGAGGATTAGATACCACGTCAACCAGCTCCACTGTCAAAAGAGACGTTATCATTGAGCTATTCGGGCTGAGACTGACGTTCTGTAGGACTGAGAAGTGGTTGGAATTATTTAATCACTGAGTAGTGACCGATATCGTGTATACGAAGTCCAAAGAACGGAATGACGAGAAAAAAAATCGAACATCATCTACAATACAAATTGTCCCAACTGCGAGGAAAACTACATCCGAGAAAGTAAATGCCCAGTTCACCTTTACCTGCACGAACACCGATTAGTGATCAAACACCAAGAAGTATTCTCGCCTGTACCAATGCATGTGGGCAACTATGGATGCACATTCGACCAGAAAAATCTTGAGATCTTAGATAGAAGAAATTCTAAAAACACCAGAGAATTTTCCGAAGCTTGGCACTCAGGTCAATCGTCAATTAATTAACAAATTAAAAAAATCTTGGACAAATATAGGGCCGAGAATCAAATTATTAGGAGATACAATCTGTCTTCTCATTGCGACTTGGAAGAGTTCTGGCGTTCTAATGCTCAAGTTATACGTGGTATATCAATAAAACAACCTTCTAGATATAATACAATCAGAACAAAGAAGTAAACAATGACAGGTTAAAAGTCAACAATAGCCAATGAAGATCGAATTCTGCAGGACAAACTGCGTCGTATGTGGAGAAATTCAAACACTTCACTTCTACCTGAAGTTTGTGCTGATGATGTTTTTCAGAAGAACGATGAAAGCTGTACAACAAAACCAAATAGCTCAGAGAACATAACTCCACCAAAAGTCCTTCTCTATTGACCAGTCAATACTTCTCAGTCATAGTCCAGATTGTTTGACGGCAACGTCTCTTCTAACTGTCATATGATCCAATACTCTGAAGAGTATAAGTCCCCTCAAAGTTACAAACACACCTTAGTGACGAGTGTTAAAAAGTACGAAACCAAGGTCGAGCAGGATTTTTTGTCGACTACCTCCAAACACCATCTGACATCTCAACATAGTGTATGGGACATCAAGTCATCGAAAATAGTGTCCATAATGTAGCTTGGTCGATAAAATCCGATTAGCACTAAGAAAGATTTGACATACAATACAATGGTCACTACTAATCAGTGATTAATTAATTGTAAATACGACGCCTCTACTAACTATTTGATAGTTTTCATATATATCTAGGGGGAATTCAGCGTTAATGTTATGTTTTTTATCAGGCCCAAGCCATGCAATCCGCACTTAATCAGTTGGCAATTAGTGTCCGTAGGTATGGTATGTGCTTTGCACCTCCGAGGTGCAAAGTACTTCTACAAGACTGGCAGGGTTCCGATTCTGTACACACTCTGGATGGTGAGCAGATAGAAGTAGTCGAGAAGTTCGTGTATCTGGGTAGCTGCATAAGTGCTGGTGGTGGCGTGAGTGATGAGATCGATGCACGTATGGTGAAAGCCAGAGCGGCTTATGCCAGTCTGGGTCAACTTTGGCGCCTTCGTGATGTTAGTCTGGCTGTAAAATGTTGGATGTACAATGTGTCGGTGAGAACAGTTCTGCTCTATGTGTGTGAAACCTGGCCTCTCCGAGTTGAGGATGTTAGACTACTCTCTGTGTTCGATCATCGCTGTCTCCGAAGGATTGCTGACACCCAGTGGCAACACCATGTTAGTAATGCAGAGGTTCAGCATCGTGTGTTCGGGCACAGAGACGAAAATCCAATTGGTGTCCAAGAATACAATAACAGTACTAAATATTACGCGTAACAAAACTGATAAATGAATTGATAAACTGATGTGGGCGAGAATGTTTGTTTAGTCAGAACTGTAGATGGTCTGACAGGCGTTAGATGAGTTATATATTCTCCTACCCTTGTCATTATTGCGATTGCTGTCGGTTTTTGGTGTAGAAATTTAATTATGTTCTAGTCAGACTAGTCACGTGTTAGTAGTATGAGTTGTGTTGAAGTCCTGTAGAATAGACACCGGGGAGGCATCTAGTATGGATATCCGTCTAAGCCAAATTAGCGTCCTATACGCGAAGACGAAAAAAACAGAGCGTTGTAACAAAAACCTTTAAAAAAATCATCCATGAATTATGTCGACCGTTGTCGTTTCCTTGACGTTGTGGACAGGCTTGCCTATCGTAATGAACCAATCGAGTTACATTGGCTGGAACAACCGTTCCTCAAGGTCCTACCATGTCAGAAAGGTCGGTAAGACTAAAAGCAACAAACATAAAGTCCGAAGGCGAAGTTGTACTGCTGATTGTACAGAGGTGTGACAGCAGTAACGTGTTTCCTTCAGACAACCAGCATCTGCAGCGATGCTACCTTCCCACAAGAAAGGGTGGGGTCAGAAAAGGTCGACCCTAAAGAAGCACACCTCACCTTACCCACGGATATCCGTCTCCGGCGGTAAGGTCTCAAGTACGGAGCCAACACGAAGATTACTCACAAAAAAGTTGTATGTGACCGACCTCAAGCAGTTGTCGCTTGACCACTGCGGTGACGCTCTCAGGTCACTAAGACCAACTCTAACTGTTGGGGAGATCCAGAAAACTTCTCGAAAGAAGCCAAAAAAGGCTCTAAAAATAATGAGAAGCATCCTATCCAATCAGCATTCACTAGAAGTTTTGCCAGAAATATCTAGAAAGTGAAGAGACATAAATCAGGTTTCTGATTGCATGATTACCTACACTGCTACTATGTTTAGCAGCTTTCCTGAATTTCCCGGAATTCCAAGGGCATCTAAAATACTATAAGAAGCAAATCAGATCAAGGTTAACCAAAAGTCTAAAGAACAACCGTGAGCAGTGGTGGGCAACGAAAGCAAAACAGATGGAAAAGGCGGCTATAGGAAACACAAGACAGCTCTTCAGACTAATTAACGAAACTGGAATTAATAAGTCAAGTGTAAGTGAGAGTATCTCGGAAAAAGACAACATTCTTATCTGCTCCCAGTTCAGACGTTTAGAACGATGGGAGGAACACTTTAGGAAGCAGTTCAGCTGACCTTCAGCCACTCTACAACTACCCACCATTCCCAGACAGTGTGAATGGAACATTCAAGTAGGTCCCCCAACTCTACCTGAAGTTCAAAAGGTTATAGTTAATCTGAAACGAGGAAGGGAAGCAGGTCCAGATGGATTGACCCCAGAGGTCTTTAAGGATGGTGGTCTAGTTTTAGCGATTAGGTTGACTAATAGTTTAGCTAAAATATGAGGTCTATATGTCATTCCATCTGACTGGTTCCAACCACTTATTGTCCCAATAAATAAGAAAGGGTCAAAATCATCCTGTGATAACCATATAGGGATTAGTTTTACTAATACAACATCTAAAATACTAGCCCCGATAATTATCGGACGCCTAACTAAGACTCGTGAACTGCAAACACGAGAAAATCAAGCTGGCTTCAGACCTAGTCGTGGATGCATCGACCACATATTCACCATTCGTCAGATTTTAGAACGCAGTCATGCTTATCAGCGCCCAACAATGGTGGCCTTTCTTGACTTAGAAGCAGCATTTGATTCTGTAGACCAAGAGGTTCTGTGGCAGTGTCTGTTACTGAGAGGTGTACATCAGAAGTACATAAACCTTGTGAAGGCTCTTTACTCGAACACTACTAGTCCAGTCAAAGCTTATGGCGAACTGTCAACTGCATTCGCAACCTCAAGTGGTGTCCGTCAAGGCTGTCCACTTTCTCCATTTTTGTTTAATTTCATCATAGACCTACTGATGGAAATCACTCTCTCGTCGACTGGATTATCGGGAATTGATCTCCTTCCAGGAGGTCCACTTATCAACTTGGTTGGTATCTGACGAAATCTCTGTACGGATTCGAAAAGTGCGTTTGGCTTTTGCCAACCTACGTCACCTATAGTTCAGGCGAGATATCCGTCTATCAACTAAGGGATCAGTATACTGCGCGGCAGTTCGCTCCGTTCTACTATACGGCTGCGAAACATGGCCTTTAAGAGTAGAAGATACTCGTAATCTACTAATATTTGACCACAGATGTCTTAGAAATATTACTCGCATCTTCTGGGATCACCGGGTAAGTAATAGTGAGGTTAGGCGCAGGGTATTAGGGAATGATGGTAAATCAGTTGATGAGGTTATGAATCTTCATCGACTGAGATGGTTGGGCCACGTGTCGCGTATGCCTGAACACCGTTCACCACGACGCGCAATGCTAACCGGTGTTGGGGATCGTTGGAAGAAAGTTAGGAGTGGCCAAACCGAAACGTGGCATCAGTGCTTGAAGTCACTAACTTCTAGTCTTAGCCATGTCGGTAGATGAAGACTACTTGGTTGGGGTCTGCGTAACTTCGTAACCGATGGTTGGAGACTCTTTGTGACTTGGCTTAGAACCGATCACAATGGCGTCTTCACTTAAAGCGTGAGATTAAAATCCCTTTATACCCTTCTGCGGACTAATTCTTTCTTCCTTTACTATATCCCTACATGCAATCTTTCTTTGATATATTACTACGATTGAAGCAACTACCACTATGATTTCGGTGTTCATCTTGTTGGGTTAATGAGGTGTGGCAACTTGGACCGATGCATATATGTGCCTGGTTCTACGTTGTAGTTGATTGACTGTCTGACAATAAATTATAGTCTGGCCACTTTTTTTAGTAATTAACATGAGTTAGTCAAATACTTTTGTTTATGAAGTCTATTGTAAAACGTTTAGTTTATCATATGGTTTGTGTACTTTCGCTTAAATTGATAATATTACTTGGTAACTAGTGTTTGTGAAATTGTAAGTCTCTTGGTTCAAGGATAGATTCCTACAGTATCGTGTCAATCTGATTCGACTAAAAAAATCTACCAAAATAAGTACTCGTGTTTTTCTGCGAAAAATAACTCCATACTTTTTCTTCTATAGAAATTCGATTGGATCAACAGGCGATTTAGGGATGATAACAATCGATGTTTTTTTCGTCAACTATTGAACTGGACTAGTAAGCTGAGGATATTCGCAACTTGGTATCCACAAGGAAAGAAAAGAAATAAAGTCAAAAACACATGGATGCGAGAATTTAACATGGACATTAGGACCATTAATGGCGCCTAACACTAACTGGGAAAGAGAGCCTAAGACAAAGTTGATTGGAACAAAACTAGTTGACGTTGTCAAAGTTAGCTGTGATAGTAATCAAAACTGTAAGCAAATGATTGAAAATGAGCTCACTACGCCTATTATAATAAACCATAGTTCTAAAGAATAGACTTCTACAGTAATAGTCAACAACTTCCTCACTTACAGCAACAACACAATTACTCAATAATAAGAGTAGAAAAATACTTACTTTAAAATCAAATTCTTGATTACTTAGTAATGGCGGTACAGATGATGAACTTATAAAAGACAATAAATGTGATTTATTACTTGTTTCTTGTATTAGTAGGGAGTGACTCTGATCATGGCCAATTGACGATTTCAACTCTAGACCTGTTGCTGTTGCTCCACGTGTAGTAGACGTTGTTGTTGTTGCTGTTGTTGAAGATGAAGAAGCGGCAGAAGTCGGAGAAGAGTGATGCTGTAGACTAGAATGTACAATTGTATCGTTTAATTGACTAGAATATTCTTTAAGTAGTACTTCCAAGACTGTTTGTGTAACAAGACCTTGGAAACCATGATATGATGTTTGATTTAACATATGTTGTCTACGTGACACTGTCGATGGTTCGGTTAATTTAGGGATTCCTGCAACGACTGCATTCGTTACTGTCTCCTGTAATAATAATTCTGCATCAGAAAAACTTTGTGGATCACCACCTAATGCTATGGAATTAGAATAATTAACATTTTTCAGCAAAGATATACTGTCACGATTTTTTATAGCTCTTTTCGTTGTATCTGTTGTTTCGACATCTGTTGAAGTCGATAATGAGGTGTTATCGTTAGGTGTTGACTTCAACTTTACACCATCTTTTACAATGATGCAATGACAATTGTAAAAGCGACACCACTGACGATATAAATCTAGTTCATCTCGTCCATGATAGAATACTGTAGGATATTTGCGCAAAATTTCTGTAAATATGGAGGGATTCTAGGATAACGAATGAAAGAAAACACGTGCAGAAATCAGTCACGTATATTTATTAAATTTCTAACTGGAAAACTTCCAACAAAACAGCTAGGGTAATTATTCATTATAATTCAGTTATGCTAAAAAGAGTCAATCTACTCACCAAGGTACCAAGGAAATTGGCTACTTTACACGTTCAAAGGAGGGAAAGATTCCACCATATATTACAATCAATCATACATATTACCGATTCATATGGATATATATTAAAAGACAATAAGCATCAAAAAATAACCGATGAGATTATTTTAATCCAAACCTTTAAGGAAATCTTATTACATTAGTATGGAGAGACCTGTGAAGATTGTAGGATTTTCATAATTTAAATCGCGAACTGATCTGACTAGACCACCATTAAAACCTGAGAAAGAGTGAACTGCCGTTTCACTCTAGTATGGAGCCGCTTAACAGTGCGCAGCTGCGACCCTGCATCAGGAAATCATACTCAGGAACTTTCGTATTGCGCGCGAACACTTGTCTGTCTCCGTTTCTCGGAGTAATGTGTTCTTTGGTCTACGACTTCTCCTTTGGCCTTGATGACTCTATGTGTGAGCTTTCCTTGAGTGGCAATAGGGCGTTTTCCTCAATGTGTGTCTGCCCCATACAGTAGAACTGTCTTGACATTTGTATTGAAAATCCTGACCTTGGTTTTGGTTGCCAATTGTTTTGAGTTCCAGATGTTCTGTAGTTGTAAATATGCTGCTCTTGATTTGCCGATCCGCGCCTTCACATCTGCATTAGATCCACCCTGTTCAACAATGATGCTGCCCAAATATGTAAAGGTTTTTACATCTTCCAAATCTTCTCCGTCAAGTGTGATTCGATTATCGCACGCTGTGTTGTATCTATGAATTTTGCTTTTCTCTTTGTGCATATTGAGACCTACTGCTTCTGAGGCTGCTGCTACACTGGTCGCATTCTCCTGCATTTGTTGTTGCGTGTGTGATAGAGGAGCTAGATCATCTGCGAAGTCTAGATCTTCCAGCTGCATCCTAGCCGTCCACCGTGTTGTCCATACCAACCATGGCATTCAGGTCTCCCATCAGAATGGTCAAGTCCTTTGTTGGGCACTTCTCGACGATTGACTGCATCCTATCGTAGAATTGATCTTTAGCGTCTTCATTGCAGTCGTTGATTTGCGCATAAGTAGTATATTACGCGAGTTAGGAACGTAATGTTTGGCAGCAGAAGATGGGGGAAGATCAAGAAAGGAAGAGCGGGAACACAATGCAATTTGTATGAAAGCGCATGAACAATGAAATCTGAGACAATGGATTGATGTTTGCAACAGGAACAGTCAAGTTTCATATGATGGATTGATATTTTGCAAATTAACGATTTAATATATGGTTCTCAGATTTTATTGAGATGCTCTGTAATTTTGTGCCTAAAAACACTCGATTGTCCCCACCTGTGTTTTGTTCACTACAGTATCTCCTCGTTTCTTCAGCAATTTGGAAGACTCCCAGTCTCCCATATTGTGAGGAGTCATAACTCTTCTAAATGAAGACCTTCTGACTCCCAGCACTGAGATAAAATGGTTTGAATAACTTTTTTCAGGTTAGCGTTTATTAGCGAGTTAGTTTTCTACGGGATGGGGTCGCTAACCCCATGCCCAACCCCCCTCCTTTATCCGGGCTTGGGGTCGGCAACAGCCCCAGAGAGGTTCCGGGCGGAGTTCTATGGTCGTTATGGCCAACACTAATCCAACTTTCTTCTCAGGTTCCTCAAAAGACATCAGCCGTCATACCCGTGACAACACACGAAACCAGGTTGTTAACCATCAAAGCCTTACTACACCTAACAACTATATTATCTAGACGACTAAATCTTCCCACATTCCTTTATCACATCGCGCCTCTAGTGCAAACGATTCGAGTGCGCAGAGTGTTATTCCTGGTATCCTGAAACCACGCTCTAAACTACATGTAGGAGCTTTTAACGTACGAATACTATGCCATATAGGACAACAGGCTTACTTAGCTAGGACTTTAGAATCTCGCGCCATCAATGTGTGCTGCGTCTCCGAAACGCGCACAAAGGGTCCAAGTAGCGTCATTCATTTTACCTCACCATGTCAAAATAAAGAACCAACTAGATTCACGCTCCGTGTATCTCGAAGCTCTGATGCTGGATTCCGTGGCCTCGCTGGTGTCGGTATAGCATTGAGTCCCAGGACAGAACTAGCTCTCTTAGACTGAATCCCAGTAGACAGTCGTCTGTGCGCTGTCCGACTAAACGGAACAGTAAGGACACCCGTCGTCTCTGATTATTCTCCCACAGTTTTATTTATTATTTGTTGGAACACATAAATATTGGTACAAGAGGGCGCCAAATATATATGCGCCACACAAAACAATGAGAATTTATAAAGAAAGGAAAAAAGGTAAGGAACGTAGGGAATTGTAAAAAAAGAACAAAAATGAGGGAAACGAAAAGGCTTGAGATGCAGAGGGAGGACACCAGGTGGCACATCGGCGATGACTGTGCCGAAAGTTAGTGCTAGCCAGAAACAGGTTGTGTTCTGTGCACAGTTGCAGTAGACGTTCCTCGTTATCTGTCCTGCGATCAACAAGTCCCCATCGGCCACCTAAACAACTCTCTTCTGTGCCTAGACGCCCGACCTGAGCATTCAAGTCTCCGGCTAGTACTACAATATCTGTCGAGCGCACTTTCTGGAGAAGAACAGTTAACTGGTGGTAGAAATCGTCCTTGATTGCATCCGGGCTGCAATCTGTCGGGGCATAGGCGGAGGTGACGAAAAAGACATCGTTTCTCACGCCGATTTCTTCTCACTTTGATGGAACTTTCAAATTTAACAGCACATAACCGACTGTTAATGGGGATCCAATCGATTAGTGCTGCCTCAGCTCTAGTACTTAGTGAGACACCAACGTCAGCAAGACCAGACGAAGATGCCACAGCGTCCCCGGATAAACGCACGTAAAACAAGCTTTTTCAAGTGACAGATGGAGAGCGAACTTGTAGTATTTCACCAGAGTCTTGAATACGGGTCTCGGATAGACAACACACTTCAATATTAAGACTTTCCAAAGACATAGCCAGCCCCATCTATTGTCCGACCTGTATAAGTGTGCGAACGTTAAAGGTAGCCAGTTTGAATGGTGCACGTGGTTTCAGAAAAACTGCTTCAGTATTCGTATCCGATGGTAACATACAATTTTCAACCAGGCAGTGACTTGAGAACGTTTAGATAGATCCGAATTTTCACCATAGGCGAGCTGCTGTCTAGGTCGAAACGGATACATAAAGTGGAAGTAAAAGAGTGAATAAATGACGTGGTAAAATAATAATAATAATAATAATAATAATAATAATAATAACAATAATAATAATAGTACGAGTCATTTCAATGTTAATCAGATAGAAATGAATATTTTCCCCAATCAAATAGTTCATCATGGTTTTAGTGCGTGGGCTGAGATACTGCCCGTGTGCCCAAACCGAAGCAGGTGGTTTTCTTAGGGGGCCACACCCCGAGCCTTTGACCTATGGGTCTAGTCCATAAGACAGTGGAGCATCGTGAGGAGATGCAGTCCCATGGAAGCCGGTAACCAACGATTGGTTCATACACCATTTGTTCCCGCAGGATACTGGAGCCCATGTGCACAATTGATTTGGGATCCGGATATAGCGTCGAACGTTCGCTTTCGTCCTCTCATTTTCGTAAACAACACCTGTGGTGCGAGAAGGCAGTGAGTAGGACTTCCCTGGCAGAGGCTGTATACGCGTGGCCGTGTGAGAGTATTTCGAGGAGGGCGAACCCATCCCACTCTCGGCCATACCAGGGTATTTGGTGGCCAAAGCTCACCAGCTCCGGCGAGGCGAATTCGAACCACCGACCTAAGGATCACTGCACCAATCTACAGTCCTCCGCTCTACCAACTGAGCTATCGCCGGACTGCAGCTCAGATGATGCAAAAGATGGGTTTTACAAAAAGCTTAGCGACCTTCTACGAAAAGCTACGCGCTCTGATGTAGTAATAGTGGCCCGTGACTTTAATGCTCAAGTAGGTAAACTAAGCGAAAGGGAAAGACACCTGGGTGGATCTTATGATGTCGCGCTTCATACAACAGATAGTAGCGACCGTCTGTTGCAGCTATGTTCAGACAACCGCCTGTTTCTAGCGAGTTCTAACTCTAAGCGTGAAGAAAGACATCTTTTGATATGGCCATCCCCGAACTCGTCCCAACGTTGGACCCAAATAGATCACGTCGCTATGAGCCAACGATGGAGGCGCTAGATAGAAGACTGTCGCTCGTTCTGGAGCACATGCTTAGATTCGAATCACACTCTAATGCGATCACGTATTTGTCTGCGTCCCAATGGACATGGGAAAGACGCTGCAAGGGAACCTCTTAGGACCCTACTTAATGATAGCCAACCTAAGAAGGTATTTCAGGAACAACTAGAAAACCAGTTAGGCAGTCATGTAAGTGATGTCTTTCCCCAGGCGGCCTGGAATGATATTCAAAAAGCCAGTAAGATAAACCACAAGGTTACGGAAAAATACTGGATCTCAGCAGCATCAACCACACTGATGGATGCTCGAAAACTCATTCCATCTGGCTATGAACATAACGAAGAGCGGAGTCAGCTGAAGCGCAGGCTGACTAGAAGCCTACACAATGATCGTGAGTAGTGGTGGGAAGCGAAAGAAAGATAGATGGAAAAGGCAGCGGCAATAGGTAACAGCAGACAACTGTTCAGACTTGTTAAGGAAACCGGTATTAGGAACCCGACTGTTAGCGAAACTATCTCCAAAAAAGATGGACATATTATTCATTCTCAATCCAGGAGATTGGATCGATGGGCAGAACACTTTAGGGGTCAGTTCAACTGGCCTTCAGCCACACTTCGGTTTCCCACGATCTCCAATCTACCTGAATGGCAAGTTAATGTGAATCCTCCGACTCTTTACGAGTCTGAAAAAGCTATAAGAAATCTGAAGCGTGGAAGAGCAGCAGGCCCTGACAGGTTTACCCCTGAGATTTTTAAGGATGGCGGTCCAGTATTGGCAGAGAGATTGACTGAGGTCTTAGGTAGAATTTGGGAATTGGACGTAATCCCATCTAACTGGTCTCAATCACTGATTGTGCCAGTCTATAAGAAAAGTCAAAAGTCCCCTTGTGATAATCACAGACCTTAAGGCGGCATTTGACTCTGTTGATCGTGAGGTTCTATGGCAGTTTGTCACTGAAAGGAGTACCAAAGAAGTACATTAACCTTATAAATGCTCTCTACTCGAACACAACTGGTCGAGTGAGAGCTTATGGCGAACTGTCATCAGAACTGAATACCTCAAGTGGTGTTCGTCAGGGCTGTCCACTCTCTCCATTCTTGTTTAACTTTGTTGTTGACGTCCTTTTATAGATGACACTTTCCTCATCTAAATTTCTAGGAGTTGAACTTCTACCGGGAGATCCATTTGTTGACTTAGAACATGCCGATGACATAGTTCTATTTGGTGAAGACGCTGACAAAATGCAGAGTCTGCTGACCACTCTAAGCAACAATGCAAGCATGTTCGGCATGCGATTTTCTCCCTCGAAATACAGAATGTTGCTTCAGGATTGGGTTACATCGGCACCTGGACTAATGATAGGGAGTGAAGGAGTTGAGCGTGTCAACCGTATATTCTGGGACCACCGAGTAAGTAATGCAGTTGTTAGGAGATGGGTACTAAGTAAGTGTTATAACGCTCGGTTTTACTTCGTCCAATGTTATAACTGTTGAGCTTCCACGTTTACACGTATGGGACATTAATTTACTTTAGACGAATATCTACACTAGATTCCCTCCCAATGTCTATTTCACAGGGCGTCAACACAACTCAGAACACGTGATGGCCTGACCACAACGTAAATATATTTCCACACCAAAATCCGACACAATCCAACAACAATGAATAGTCAATAATAAGTGAGTCATAATAATAATAAAAATAATAATAATATTAATATTAATAATAAGGATAGGGGAATATATAACTCATTTGACACATGTTAGATTGTCTAAATGTCTGACTAAGCAGACAACCAATCATTATCATTCTCGCCCACACATCAGTATGGATGGCAAATCAATTGATGAAGTAGCGAAACTTCATCAGTTTAGATGGATGGGATATATTTTACGTATGCCCAACCATAGACTGCCCCGACGTGAGGTGTTTTATGGTGTTGGAGTGAGTTGGAAGAAAGCTAGGAGCAGCCAGACCAAAACATGTCACAAATCCATGAAATCACTGACAAATGGACTGAGCCATTTAGGTAGGTGCAGACTACCCTGGTTGGGATCCGCGAGACGATAGCAACCGATGGTTAGAGACCTTGAATGATATGGCTCAAAATCGTTTGCAATGGCGCAGGTGAATCCACTCTTTGTGTTCTCCCGAATTCTAATCTTCTGAATTCTTCATGTCCTTTTTTTATTTCCAAATTTATTTCACTGGATTATACTCCTTGAATAACATCTTCAAACCCTAATCGTTCGGATTACTGCTTATACTTTTACTACCTCTACCACTATGAGATTTGAATGGACAATTGTATCTCCGTGCTAATGTGATATGACAACTCGAACTGATGACGGACTGACTGATCTAGATGTAAAGTTCTTCGACTTTTAGACACTAAGTCCCATATTCGAAACCTGCCAAGCCTACTTCTGTCTGAGGACTAGGACAGGCTATCATCAGTCCTTGGCGAATGAATAAATGTAATGCAAGGCATTCTAAGTTTATCTTCAAGTAAAGTGATCACGCTGCCAAGGCACAGACGACCTGTATGGACGTCAAGGCATATTATATTATATTATATTATATTATATTATATTATATTATATTATATAAAACGTCTTGGACTGAAGTAAAGTATTTAGATTCGATCTACAATCCTCAGACAAAGGTGTACGAATATACGTATACGTATATGTGCACAACGGTAAAAGCACATAACTATTTATAAGAGAGCATAAAATAATATGGCAATTATACATCTGACTGTCAAGTCTTTTTCTCATACCATCGTAACACTGCTCAAGAGAATAGGTGTACAAAAATTACTAAAAAAAAGTGAGATGATTAATCTGCCTGAATTTAGAAAACGGGAAATACAACCTACTCAAAGTCTCAACCAACGTGTTTTTGTCTGAGTTTTCAAGACAAGTTTAAAAACCAATCATTGGGTTCAGGAATTAAAACTTCCTACTATTCATTTTATTCTTTTCATCCGTACAATAGGGTTTGCTGTTGTGTGAGAACTGTATATTGAAACCAGATCAGATTTTGGAACAAAACAGTTTGGACGCATGTAATGTCCTTCTGTTGAACAATCCTAAACCAGAAATGAGACAACTGTTTGGTATTCTGCATTTTTCGAGCTGGTATCAGTAACTGATCAGAAAATTCTTTGCACATGTATACGTTAAGTTTAAACAATATTTTAAAACTCGGGAATAACATCTTTGTTTACTCTAGGTTGGACGATACCAAGTTTACATCTATCAGGTTTTCATGACACTTTGATCAAGATTTTAGATACTGCGTACATACTGCTATCATTCATAATTAAGCTACTAAGTTGGCATTTCTCTCTTTAAACATTAAAAAACTTGGATGATTCCGGTTACAATGCAGCGTGAAATTCATCTGACTATTATTAGCTAATTAGTAGTTCAGTAATCTCTTTTCACAGGCTCAACGTTTGTTCATTATTTATTTAGTGCGATTTTCCAGAGATTGTTGCTCAGTAGGTAAATGCACGTGATATATTTTCCTCTCTTTTCGTACTACTAATAATTATAATACGTCGAAGTATTAAAGAGCAGATTGTATACTTTTAGGACTATAACTTCACACGAACTCTAACTCTATAGCAATAACACGAAAAGTATTTCAAAGCACAGATAGGTTGTGACTACCAATGGAATCTAGGACGACCGTTTTATACTATTTGGGACTCGTCAGCTGGATGAACCTACATCCTTGAGTTGATGTTTTTTCTGGAACTCGAACCCAGTACCGTTCGCTTCAAACACCCAGTGAGTTATTCATCTAACTACCGAGTCCGTTGAACTCATCACTAAATAACTTAATAAATTAGTGATATTATTAAGAAGACTTTTACAACTGTAGCTATGTTATATACACAAATTTACCTAGTACTATCCATGATAAAAAACAAAGAAACAAGAAACTTATACTATCTCAACAAATCAATACTTACCAAACTATGTATATTAAGCGATTTGAACACACCGTCTGGATAGACATCGGAGAAAGAAATTTGAGCTATAACATTATCCTCTTGTGAACTGAATGGTATTTGTCTATCTAATTGGGATTTCATAAACGAAGGAAGTTGCTCGATTGCTTTCAACGCAGTGCTAAAAGAAAATCGGTAGAAAAGAGATGCAGACAGAGGTGGGTATATAAAAACATTAAAAGTCTGACTAAAGCTTATTTAAATAAAGAAACAGAAATAGATCAATTTCTATTACACTATGACACATAGTTTAAATGATTTGAATAACTTTTTCTTCTTAGCCCCTTCTAACAACCAGAGCAACAATTTTTGTACGTACATGGAACGTACCGACAATGCGGTAGAACGGGAAGACCAGTCAAATAGCAACAGAAATCAGAAGATACAAGTTGGCGGTACTCAAAATCAGAGAAACCCATTGGACCCAAGCTGGACAGCTAAAGCTATATACGGGAGAGATGCTACTGTACTCCGGTCACGAAGAGGAAAATGCTTTGCACATTCAGGAAGTTGCTCTGATGCTGTCCAAAGAAGCACGTAACGCACTTGTAGGATGGGAATCTCACGGATCCAGAATCATCAAAGCATCATTCAAAACAAAGAAGGAGGGGATTACAATGAATCTTATCCAATGTTATGCACCCACCAATGATAGCAACGACGACGATAAAGACCAATTGTATGAGAAGCTGCAATCAATCATAGCAAAGTGCGCAAGAAATGACCTCACTATTGTGATGGGAGATCTAAACGCCAAAGTCGGAATAAGCAACACCGAATATGAAGATATCGTGGGACGACATGGACTGGGAGAGAGAAACAAAAATGGAGAGAGATTTGTAAATGTATGCGCATTCAACAAATTGGTTAAAGGGCGGCACAATATTTCCACACAAACACATACACAAAGCTATATGGATCTCACCGGACCACACCACAAAGAACCAGATAGATAATATCAATAAGAGATTCAGAAGGACAATGGAAGATGTAAGAACTAGGAGAAGAGCTGACATAGCTTCAGATCACCATCTGGTTGTGGCCAAGATGAAACTGAAGCTAAGGAAACACTGGACAACTAGGGGAACAGCATCTCAAAGGTTCAATACAGGCTTCGAGATGCTAACAAACTCAGAGAATTCAAGATAAATCTCAAAAACAGGTTCCAAACCCTACAGGATCTACTGAAGAAAGAAGAAACAATTATGGAGGACAACTGGGAAGGTATCAAAAAAGCATTAACTTCAATGTGTCAGGCGGTTCTGAGCCGCAAGAAGCATCATCATAAGGAATGGATCTCTGTAGAAATCCTGGACAAGATCAAAGAAAGGAAGAACAAGAAGACAGCAATTAACAACAGCAGAACACGAGCAGAGAAACTCAAGGCACAAACCGAGTACATAGAAGGAATCAAGAAAGTGGAGAAGAGCATTAAAGTGACAAGCAGAAATATCTGGAAGAACTAGCAACGATACAGGAAAAGGTCGCAAGAGAAGGAAATATGAAACAACTATATGATCCAACGAAGAAACTAGCAGGGAGATATAAGAAACCAAAGAGACTGGCCAAGGACAACGAAGACAGGTCAATCACTGAAATTCAAGAACAGCGGAACAGATGCGTAAAATACTTAGAAGAACTCTCGAGTATACATGCTCCATTAGATCCATCGAACATCGAAGCAGCACCTACAGACCTTCCTATAGATGTCACTCCACCAACAATCGAAGAAATCAGGATGACTATCAGACAGATCAACGAATCATCGTTGAACAATCAGTTGAATGGAACCCATCACTATACATCAATTTCATTGACTATGAGAAGGCGTTTAACATTGTGGACAGGAGAATATTATGGAAACTTCTTCGACACTATGGAGTTCCTGTTAAGATTGTCAACATTATCCGGAACTCATACGACTGACTACACTGCCAAGCCGTGCATGAAGGAATAAATGAAAGAACCATTGAGCCGGCATCCAATGGTGTTAATGTTTGACTAAGATCGTAAACCCATTGATGTTCGACCACCACTGAAAACCTGGAAGCACTGGACGGCCGTTTCGTGCTATTGTGGAGCTCCTCAGCAGTGCGCATCTACGATTTCGCTCGCAGGATTCCAGCCCAACGATCTTCGACTTAAAAATCATAGGAATTTTCATGTCCGATCTATGATCCTTGATAATCTTGACATAAAGTACACTGAAGAATATTTTATATTTAAAGCATTTATTAGGTTTACGCACCCAAATGATTCTGTGTTATGCATGAGAGTTTATGACATTTAAAATTTCCACATAAAAATCAATAAGTACGATATAAGAAATAAGATAGATATAACTGAGGTGCCTTTATGTATGTCCATGTTTATATCTGATCAAAGTTTTTCATTCGGTAAATAGTAAGGACTCTTGAATAGACCAGCTCCATTGAATCCACTGGACATAGAAGCAGCACACACAAACCTTCCTATAGATGTCCCTCCACCAACAACCGAAGAAATCAGGATGGCCATCAGACAAATCAAGGGTGGGAAAGTAGAAGGACCTGACAATATGTCAGCTGAGGCACTGAAGTCAGACATTGAAGTAAACATAAACATACTTCACCTTCTATTCAAGAAGGTTTGGGAGGAGGAACAAGTGCCGACGGACTGGAAAGAAGGAAACCTCATCAAGATTCCAAAGAAAGAGAATCTGAGCAAATGTGAAAACTACAGAGGCATCACAATACTGTCAGTACCAGGGAAAGTCTTCGGCAGTGTTGCTGAGCCGGATGAAAGACGCAGTAGATGCCCTACTTCGAGACCAACAGGCTGGATTGCGTAAGGATCGGTCATGCAGACTAAAACTCAAAACAACTGTCAACCAATATCAAGGTCAGAAGCTTTAATACGAACGTCAAGACAGTTCTGCTGTACGGAGCTGAAACTTGGAGGATTACTAAAACAATCATCAAGAAATTACAAGTATTTATAAATAGTTATTCACGCAAGATACTCAATACCCATTGACCGGATATCATCAGCAAGTCTTCTGTGGGAAAACAAACCAGCTTCCAGCTGAAGAGGAAATTAGGAAAAGACGATGGAAATAGACAAGACATACATTACGGAAATCAAAAAGCTGCATCACGAGGCAAGCCCTAACTTGGAATCCTAAAGGGAAACGGAAAAGCGTAAGGCCAAAGAACACAATACGTCGGGAAATAGAAGCACATATGAAAACGATGAGTATTAACTGGACAGAGCTGGAAATGATTGCCCATGACAGGGTTGAATAAAGGGTGCTGGTGAGAAGCATGTGCTCCTCCACGAGGAGTAACAGACGTAAGTAAGTAAACTATGACACAATACACTTACAGAAAGTGAATTCCAATTTATTTATATAAACACATAAACATTGGTGAAAGAGGGCACCATATAAATCCACATGTCAGACTAAGCAGACAACCAATCATTATCATTCTCGCCCACACATCAGTATGGATGGCAAATCAATTGATGAAGTAGCGAAACTTCATCAGTTTAGATGGATGGGATATATTTTACGTATGCCCAACCATAGACTGCCCCGACGTGAGGTGTTTTATGGTGTTGGAGTGAGTTGGAAGAAAGCTAGGAGCAGCCAGACCAAAACATGTCACAAATCCATGAAATCACTGACAAATGGACTGAGCCATTTAGGTAGGTGCAGACTACCCTGGTTGGGATCCGCGAGACGATAGCAACCGATGGTTAGAGACCTTGAATGATATGGCTCAAAATCGTTTGCAATGGCGCAGGTGAATCCACTCTTTGTGTTCTCCCGAATTCTAATCTTCGAATTCTTCATGTCCTTTTTTATTTCCAAATTTATTTCACTGGATTATACTCCTTGAATAACATCTTCAAACCCTAATCGTTCGGATTACTGCTTATACTTTTACTACCTCTACCACTATGAGAATTGAATGGACAATTGTATCTCCGTGCTAATGTGATATGAAAACTCGAACCGACGTACGTACGCACGAAGTTCTACGTTGTTAATGAATGACGGGCTTCCCTCTTGGGCAGAGATGTTGTTTACGAAATTGAGAGGACGAAATGCTAGTGTCTGATAAAATGAAATGATTGTGTGGCGTATATGTATTTGGTGCCTCCTTGCTTTTTATTTATTTATTTGAACACATAAATATTGGTACAAGAGGGCACCAAATATATATGCGCCACACAAAACAATGAGAATTTGAAGAGAAGAGATAAACGATAAAAAAGGAGGGTAAGGAACGTAAATTAGTGTAGGCGAGTGTAATAATAATATTAATAATAATAATAATAATAATAATAATAATAGTAATTATTATTATTATTATTATTATTATTATTATGGGGGAAACGGAAAGGTACAATCAGAAGAAATTTTTCAATTAAGGAAGAAGCAACCACTCTTTACGAAGAAAGTAAAAGAAGGTTACAGCAGGATCGCCACTGGCTTCTATTCTGAGCCATAACTGATAACATCTCTAGCCACTGAGTTACACCATCTCTCGGACCACAGCCACGGAGTAGTGAAGGACCAACACAAGCCAGCTCTTTACAGCTTTCTTTCATAGCACGACACCATGTCATATACTGCCCCCAAATGCCCTGGTATGGCTGAGAGCGGGGTGGGTTCGCCCTCCCTCTTGAAATACTCTCACACGGCCACGCGTATACAGCCTCTGCCAGGGAAGTCCTACTCACTGCCTTCTCGCACCACAGGTGTTGTTTACGAAAATGAGAGGACGAAAGCGAACGTCCGACGCTATATCCGGATCCCAATTCAATGGTGCACATGGGCTCCAGTATCCTGCGGGAACAAATGGCGTATGAACCAACTTTGGTCACCGGCTTCCATGGGACTGCATCTCCTCACGATGCTCCACTGTCTTATGGACTAGACCCATAGGTCAAAGGCTCGGGGTGTGGCCCCCTAAGAAAACCACCTGCTTCGGTTTGGGCACACGGGCAGTATCTCAGCCCACGCACTAAAACCATGATGAACTATTTGATTGGGGAAAATATTCATTTCTATCTGATTAACATTGAAATGACTCGTACTATTATTATTATTGTTATTATTATTATTATTATTATTTTACCACGTCATTTATTCACTCTTTTACTTCCACTTTATGTATCCGTTTCGACCTAGACAGCAGCTCGCCTATGGTGAAAATTCGGATCTATCTAAACGTTCTCAAGTCACTGCCTGGTTGAAAATTGTATGTTACCATCGGATACGAATACTGAAGCAGTTTTTCTGAAACCACGTGCACCATTCAAACTGGCTGCCTTCAACGTTCGCACACTTATACAGGTCGGACAATAGATGGGGCTGGCTATGTCTTTGGAAAGTCTTAATATTGAAGTGTGTTGTCTATCCGAGACCCGTATTCAAGACTCTGGTGAAATACTACAAGTTCGCTCTCCATCTGTCACTTGAAAAAGCTTGTTTTACGTGCGTTTATCCGGGGACGCTGTGGCATCTTCGTCTGGTCTTGCTGACGTTGGTGTCTCACTAAGTACTAGAGCTGAGGCAGCACTAATCGATTGGATCCCCATTAACAGTCGGTTATGTGCTGTTAAATTTGAAAGTTCTATCAAAGTGAGAAGAAATCGGCGTGAGAAACGATGTCTTTTTCGTCACCTCCGCCTATGCCCCGACAGATTGCAGCCCGGATGCAATCAAGGACGATTTCTACCACCAGTTAACTGTTCTTCTCCAGAAAGTGCGCTCGACAGATATTGTAGTACTAGCCGGAGACTTGAATGCTCAGGTCGGGCGTCTAGGCACAGAAGAGAGTTGTTTAGGTGGCCGATGGGGACTTGTTGATCGCAGGACAGATAACGAGGAACGTCTACTGCAACTGTGCACAGAACACAACCTGTTTCTGGCTAGCACTAACTTTCGGCACAGTCATCGCCGATGTGCCACCTGGTGTCCTCCCTCTGCATCTCAAGCCTTTTCGTTTCCCTCATTTTTGTTCTTTTTTTACAATTCCCTACGTTCCTTACCTTTTTTCCTTTCTTTATAAATTCTCATTGTTTTGTGTGGCGCATATATATTTGGCGCCCTCTTGTACCAATATTTATGTGTTCCAACAAATAATAAATAAAACTGTGGGAGAATAGTCAGAGACGACGGGTGTCCTTACTGTTCCGTTTAGTCGGACAGCGCACAGACGACTGTCTACTGGGATTCAGTCTAAGAGAGCTAGTTCTGTCCTGGGACTCAATGCTATACCGACACCAGCGAGGCCACGGAATCCAGCATCAGAGCTTCGAGATACACGGAGCGTGAATCTAGTTGGTTCTTTATTTTGACATGGTGAGGTAAAATGAATGACGCTACTTGGACCCTTTGTGCGCGTTTCGGAGACGCAGCACACATTGATGGCGCGAGATTCTAAAGTCCTAGCTAAGTAAGCCTGTTGTCCTATATGGCATAGTATTCGTACGTTAAAAGCTCCTACATGTAGTTTAGAGCGTGGTTTCAGGATACCAGGAATAACACTCTGCGCACTCGAATCGTTTGCACTAGAGGCGCGATGTGATAAAGGAATGTGGGAAGATTTAGTCGTCTAGATAATATAGTTGTTAGGTGTAGTAAGGCTTTGATGGTTAACAACCTGGTTTCGTGTGTTGTCACGGGTATGACGGCTGATGTCTTTTGAGGAACCTGAGAAGAAAGTTGGATTAGTGTTGGCCATAACGACCATAGAACTCCGCCCGGAACCTCTCTGGGGCTGTTGCCGACCCCAAGCACGGATAAAGGAGGGGGGTTGTGCATGGGGTTAGCGACCCCATCCCGTAGAAAACTAACTCGCTAAAAAACGCTAACCTGAAAAAAGTTATTCAAACCATTTTATCTCAGTGCTGGGAGTCAGAAGGTCTTCATTTAGAAGAGTTATGACTCCTCACAATATGGGAGACTGGGAGTCTTCCAAATTGCTGAAGAAACGAGGAGATACTGTAGTGAACAAAACACAGGTGGGGACAATCGAGTGTTTTTAGGCACAAAATTACAGAGCATCTCAATAAAATCTGAGAACCATATATTAAATCGTTAATTTGCAAAATATCAATCCATCATATGAAACTTGACTGTTCCTGTTGCAAACATCAATCCATTGTCTCAGATTTCATTGTTCATGCGCTTTCATACAAATTGCATTGTGTTCCCGCTCTTCCTTTCTTGATCTTCCCCCATCTTCTGCTGCCAAACATTACGTTCCTAACTCGCGTAATATACTACTTATGCGCAAATCAACGACTGCAATGAAGACGCTAAAGATCAATTCTACGATAGGATGCAGTCAATCGTCGAGAAGTGCCCAACAAAGGACTTGACCATTCTGATGGGAGACCTGAATGCCATGGTTGGTATGGACAACACGGTGGACGGCTAGGATGCAGCTGGAAGATCTAGACTTCGCAGATGATCTAGCTCCTCTATCACACACGCAACAACAAATGCAGGAGAATGCGACCAGTGTAGCAGCAGCCTCAGAAGCAGTAGGTCTCAATATGCACAAAGAGAAAAGCAAAATTCATAGATACAACACAGCATGCGATAATCGAATCACACTTGACGGAGAAGATTTGGAAGATGTAAAAACCTTTACATATTTGGGCAGCATCATTGTTGAACAGGGTGGATCTAATGCAGATGTGAAGGCGCGGATCGGCAAATCAAGAGCAGCATATTTACAACTACAGAACATCTGGAACTCAAAACAATTGGCAACCAAAACCAAGGTCAGGATTTTCAATACAAATGTCAAGACAGTTCTACTGTATGGGGCG